TGGTGCCTTCCAAGTCTGGGGGGGGCACCAGATTGCCAACCGGGGTGGGGCCCCCAGTGGCCCATTGCTGACCGGGGGGGGCGTTCCCCAGCAGCCGATCGCCAGGCCAGCAACAAAACCAGCGAAACCAGAAGTGCACTTCTGGTGGCACTTTTGGTTTCATCGCTGATGCTTCCAGGGGGTGCACGGCAGATCTCAGGGGATGCACATGCACCCCCTGCACGTCGCCAGAGCTGCAAAGATTGAATCAATTCAGGCTCAGGCTTTTTGAACATCCGTCCCTAGCCTGCAAGTCCATTGCAGTTGGCCGGGGGTGGATGGGGCAGAGTTGGACTAGGTGACCACTGGAGGTCCTACTTCTCTATGGTCCTCTGGTTTATAGCAGCTGATAAGCAGGCTGCTGCCTACGCAAGCTTACACCTTTATGAATGAGTTAGTCTTTAAGGTGCCACCTTGCCCTGCCTTCTGCCATCTTAGAAGTAGTTAGTTATGATTTTTTGACCCAACAGTAATATGTAGGCCATGTTATTTTGCCCACATAGGGATTCACCTGTGTACATGCTATATTCTTCCAAGATGCACCATTTCCCAAAATAAATCCTTTTTCTTCATCTGCTACCTTTGCCCTGTGGCTAGTATAGAAATAAGTTGGTAATGTTTGGCAATACCTCATTTAAGACAATTCATTTGCTTCCATGTTTTTATTAACTGGGTTCATTCCCCTTCTCATGATTAATAGTGTTTTATCTGCTTATGAGCTTTGTTAGTCTGGGATATTTTCTTTCTATCATGTCTTGCATTGCTCTTTAGAAATACTATGTTCCATATTGTGCTTAGTAATTTATTAAATGTTTATAGCATAAAATGCTTTGGATATGATTTTTAGTGGAAACAATGTTTTCCATCAGTTTGGGTTTAAGCTATTTTATTTATTGCTTGTCTACAGTTGGCTGAGTGTCCTTTCCCTTCCCCCACCTCCTTTACATGGTGGAGCATGGAAAGATGATTGATGGAATGTCACACATAAGTTGACAAAATTTGGAGTAGATTAATGACTAGGAAACACTAGCCTTTTTCCCTTTTAAGTGAGACTGTTTGAAGTCTGGCTTGTATTTTTAAAGGAAAATGTTATTCTGCTTCTTTAGTGCCCTCTGATCAGGAATCGAGAACCATGTTCTTATCTAGGATTGGCCATCCCTAGCCACAAATAGCCAATTAATGATTTGGAGTAACTTTCTGCTTTTCTTACCTAGTCAGCCCAGTACTCTGTGGCTGACTGATTTCCATCCAAGCTGGCCTCTTTTTTTACAACTGCAGTTTTGTGCCAATGAAGAACTGCAGTTGTATTTTTGTACCATTTTGTAAAGACCTGGGACTGGCATCCAAAAGAGCTCTGTTCAGTCCCAGCTTTTCAAGGCACTTTCTGGGTGACCTTGGCCAAGTCACCTCAGCTATTGGAAATGCAGCCTTAAAACACAGCAACATTCAATGTCTTCAAAGGGGTATGTTGGCTGCACAGCTCCTTTGAAAATGTGTCCCCTTTTATAGATGTTGGGCCTACCTTAATCTGTCTATGCTTCAGCTCCCATCTGTGAAACAGGGATAATAGTATTTTAACTACCAAAATTTGCAACTGTAATAAATTATGGGAGCAAAAGTGCTGGTACTGCAGTTTGCAGGCAAAATTAATCAAAGGCTAGTATGAAGCCTGGCTGAAAATATCAGACCAGGGAGCACAATTGTTTTCTAAATTTTCCTCTGGGCAGATATTTCCAACAATTTATAATCAGGCCTTTCTGGTCCAAACAGATACTTTAGTATTGTCATTTGTATAGTCCCAGGTAGCACCCTCCATTAACACAGTTGAATGAGGCAAGAATTACGTCTATTTTACACAAGCGTATCTACGTGCAACAGAAGTATGCACCTGGCTGTCAAAGGTGGTGCTGTCAGAGGGCCTGATTGAGTCAGTTTTCCATTCAATCTAAGAACAGGCTATTCTTCAAGTTAGATTTTCTCTTGGCGGACCTGTTCTCAGTCTGTTTTTGTCCAAACCTCCAGGCAGTGGAGTCAGTAGATCCTAAAGCCTTCACAATGCATCTGCCTTTGCCTTCCTACACAGACTGGAAACAGGAGTTGATATAAATTTTCTTCCAGCACTTTTAACATGCAGTATAATAAAAGAATCACTATGTCTTAAATCACAAGGCATGGCTTCCTGACCCTGTACAGCTCTCCCTATCCGATCTTCTGCCTCTTCATCACAAAGATCTGTCCTTCACACTGATGTAGACATTTCCTCTGATAGAGGCTCGTGAAAGGTGAAGTTTGGTTAAAAGGGATCATCAGACATAACAATTCCTACCTCTTTTAAGTTCACAAAGTTAACCTTGGAACAAATTGTTTTGAAATAAGATTTAAATGCAGCTGTGTTGGTGTCAGCCCTAGAAAATTTCTTTGTGGAAACTCACCCACTTATTTTATATTCTGTGACACACTGTACTTTAGCACTGCACCTCCTGGGACTTGAATCTGAGAAGCCCCCATTATTTGGGAGGGGGGCACTTTTCCTTTGATCAGGTCTTTTGTTTTTTGGGCGTAGGGGAGGGGGGTAACCATAATTTTGTCTCGTGCGATTTAATTTCCCTTTGTTCTTTGCTGCCATTTTTTAAAATTGGTTCAGAAGCAAGAAGGAAGTATTTGAGACAGGCCCCCTCTTTGTGACTGAGGATATACTTAGTTTCATGTGAACTTTATTCAAATGCTCTTTTGGTCCTTCCTGTGCATAATAGTCCCTCGATCCCAGAAAATGCCTTCTGAAACCTTGGCCGGTGTTTATTTCATGGAAGGGAACAAAATGTCCCTACATTACAATGTCAGCTGTTTGATAAGCAACATCTCCTGATCCCCGTAGTATCATTTTAAATCCTACCATGCCAAGAATGCTTCTTGGCCAGGTAGAATGAATGGTCTTATCCCTTACCCCCACGCCTCTTCCTAGACAGCCAGTAACTGAAGAGGAGGAGGTTTACAGGGAACTTTACCAGAAAGCACTTAGTTACATCTGCTGTGCTGAACCAGTGCTCTTAAGACCTTCGGTGCCTCTCCCTGCCTCTTCCCTAGCCTGAATAATAGTTTTAGTATTTGGAGCCTGTAAGTTCCATAGTTAGGGTTGTAGAAAGAATTTTTAACTATTTTCTGCACCCAGGAGCCACAACGTGTAACGTTCCTCACTGCTGTGGACTTGAACAAGGAAGGACTAACTTGACTAACATTATTAATTCCAGTTTGTTTAAGTTTATTCATTAGCAATTTAATGCTAGATGCTTCAGCTGAGGAGGCTGTGTCAGGACAAGGAAGAGCAGAGGGAAAGTGCCAGGAATCATTAGTGTCTATTAGCCACTACTGCTCATCAATCTTGGCTACGAGTGCAACCCATCAGTTCTGGACTGGTGGACTTGAGATGCAGAAACATCATTAACAGTTAAAAATGCATCTTTTTCAGGTCAGTCTTTAATGAATAGGAACTTGCACATGCGCTCCATTGCCAAATTCTATTTCCACTGAGGTTGGTCTCACCGAAGTCTAGCCTGAGCATACACAGGTTGACAGCTGTATGCACTGGAGAGTCCTAGCACAGAATCAATGCTAGGATCAGTAACTGAGTCTAGCTTTTCACTCTGGTAGCAACACTTCTGCTTGCAGTAACATTTAGAAACATTTTTATTGGGTATGCAAAATATTAGAAATAATTGTTTAAATACTTTGCTTTGTCAGGGTCTAAACCATATGCTGATAACAAATATGGACTTGTATACGTGACTGATTGCAGATCTCAGAAATATTAGGAATGGGAAGATTGGTTTTATTTTCCTAAGACAAATAGTTTAATAACTGCAGAACACAGTGTTTATGACTTAGTCAATACAGAGCCTCATCTGACCTGTAAGTCAAAATGGAACAAATGCCTCCAGAAGGTGCAATGAGGGTACGGTATTATAGCTGCCAAGTTTCTAATGAGAAATAAACTTCATGCCCAAACCACTTGTGGTCATTAAAGATCCCATTTAACTTTGAGAAACGTTTTCTTGCATCCTGCCCAAATTGCAATTTGAGTAGTTGCATTACGTTTGCTAAAATACCCTTGTGGTTTCAATTGGAAAAGTAACCTTTCACTTTCTCCCTTGAAAGTATTGCTGTATAGTGATACTGCTCCATTTGCATAGTGTGCGTAGTGACCTAGCACATACTACACAACCTGTAGAGTACTTTAGAACAAAAGGCCCTTCATAATTACCAGTGAATTATTTGCATAATTGGGGGGAAAGCATCCTCTTAGGGCTTGATTCGCCATTGCTCTGCATCTTGCATTTCCCACCCATGAAAAGGATATGCATAGTGATGATAAAACCTACCAAACCAGAAAGGGCTGCATCTTACACACCTGTACATTACCACTCAAAAGGCAAGGCAGCCAGTATTTGCTTTCTTGGTAGTACAGTATTATGATGGCTCAGCCAAAAACCAGGCTTAAAGCTGGAAAGCATCATGGGCGTTTTGTGTGTACGTGTTTTGACTTTTGTGGGTAAATTTAGATAGTTTGTGGGGAAGGGTTTTATTGGATGACATCTGGTGACAGAGGGAAGAGATAGAAATTACAGTTTAATTAGAATTCTAAGCCTAACTTTTACAATATTCTTGCTAAGTCAGCAGCCTGCATGTTCTATTTGTGTTTCTTGTCATTTAGTCAGGACAGCAGTAGTCAGTTAGCCCTGAAATGCCTATAAATATTAGCAACCATCACTACATTTCAGAAGAGCTTTAATCAGGACAGCCACATAGCAGTTTTTCATCAATATATACATAAAAGCTAATTTACAGCATTACTGCCAACATTAAATATATACATAATTTTTATATATATATATGTATGTATGATAAGAAATTGCTTTTATCATGCTTTAGGACCCAAATCTCATCAACGTGTTTGTCTTTTACAGGTAGTTAAATAGGATTACCAAGAGGGTGGTGCTGTTTTTCACCAGCCATGAGGGTCCTCTTGCTTTGTGTCTGCATGATGCTATTGACTGTATCCCAATCCCTGGCTGTCAGCTTTCCTGAAGATGAGGACCCTATTAATGTTGTTGACTACCATTGTAAGTCATTTGCAAATTACTTTAAATACTAGAAAATTGTTTAAGAGCAGGTTTTTTTGTTGACAAGTGAAAATGATTTTTCCCTTTAAATTCAAATTTATTTACTGGCTCTTTGTCTTGAGTAGACCGCTTAATCATTTTTAAAAAGCAATCAGAAATAAAGCAATAACTTCTGTAAAAAGAGCATTTGCTGACATTGGCCATCTTTCATTCATTTATATTCAAGACATTACTCAAGGAATTTAGTTTAAACCCTTCTACACCTAGTATATACAGCTAATCAATGCTGTATATTGATTCTTTAGCTCTATAATCCTGAGTGATGGTGTAGCCCATTTTCACTTGCAGATTCAAGGCAATATCCAGTATTTAGAGGACGCCCTTCAGGCAATGAATCTCAACACAGGCTGGACTTTCAACTGATGTTGAAGATTCGAGACACACTTTATATCGCTGGCAGGTAATTTTCCTTTAGTCAGTTTATTAGATTAAAATTATTTTCTTTCCTGGTTTTGCACTAATGTGTGCAATTCATTTTAAAAAGTGCAGGATATAGTGAAAATTAGAATTAAGTTGGGGAAAGCCTCCTAGAGAAATATACAATATGTGTGTCCAGTGAATGTCCAGATAGGAGAGAGGGCTGTGGTTACTGCACATATAGTAAGCCCAGTGCTCTAATTCTGTTTTCCACCGTATACATTACAGTCATGATGAAAACTTCTGATCATCTCAAAGCTTGGAACGACATAGCAGGGCTGTAGGAAAACAGTTCAAAACATTTGCATATTTGCAATCTAGGCTGTGCTTTGTAATGTACAGGAGCTGAAAAATGCAAATTCTAGCTAAAAACCCCATCGTTTGGAAAGAACCCCAAAGTACTCCATGTTAGCCCTGCTTTGTTGAGCCCAGAAAAATCCATAAGTGCTTCAATACATGCACTTTGTGTAGCAAATATCCTAAAAATATACTGATAAAAACCCCCCAAAAGTCCAGCATATTTATGCACGCATCTGATGTGTCTTATTCCCTTGTTTCCAATAGAGATCAAGTTTATACTGTAAACTTAAATGAAGTTCCAAAAGCAGAAGTTACTCCAAGCAAGGTGAGCCAGTGCAGAAAAACATGTTTTTAAAGGCGTTTTCAATATAAAAAATGAACTATATTTTTATTTTATTTAAACAGAAATTGACATGGAGATCCAGGCAGCAGGACAGAGAGAACTGTGCCATGAAAGGCAAACACAAAGTATGCTTACCATATACATACTAGCACAAACAATAACAACATTAATTGCACATGGGAAATCTGTTGTTAATATAACTTTCTCTCTTTTCAGGATGAATGCCATAACTTTATTAAAGTCTTTGTTCCCAGGAATGATGAGATGGTGTTTGTCTGTGGAACAAATGCATTTAATCCTATGTGCAGATACTATCGGGTAAGCTCATTAAATAACACACCGTGATTTGTATTATTGTTAGCTTGCAAAATAGTTTTATAGTGATGATTAAGGTTTTCACTGTGCCTTTGCAAAGTACTTCTTTCTTTCAAAGGTATGAACAATGAGAATAAATATGAAAAAAAAGCAACATGCAAAATCAAGGTGTATGTCAAAGTAGTAGTAGTATCCCATAATACTGATATCTAGAATGGCAATCACATGCTGAACGATTTATTTGTCTTCTCTAGCTGAATACCTTAGAGTATGACGGAGAGGAAATTAGCGGTTTGGCAAGGTGCCCATTCGACGCCAGACAAACCAACGTTGCCCTCTTTGCTGGTAAGAACTTTTGCTGTAATGAATCTAAATGATTAATAACACAGAAGGAGCCAGAGGGCTTTACAAGAAGGCACGGAAAAGCTGCAGGTGTCAAGGTGCTTCTGGTTTTAAATTTTTCAAAGGGCCTCCAAAGGATTAGAAGCTAAACTGTTAAAGCATAGGTTAGAGTAATTTGGGGAAAGAGGGTCAGTAAAAAATGAGAAGAATACAGGCTAGTCAGAATTGTATATATTATTCATGGTCTGCTAATGCCACATTTTAACTTTTATTTTAGATGGAAAATTGTATTCAGCTACAGTAGCAGATTTTCTGGCAAGTGATGCTGTTATTTATCGCAGCATGGGAGATGGATCTGCCCTCAGAACAATAAAATATGACTCTAAGTGGATAAAAGGTAATTTTGGAAAAAAATATTTCCCAGTGTATAGGACAAATGTAATTTCATTGGCACTGAAAATGAAGCACATCTTTACCAGCATGATTATATATAAGCACCAGGTTAATATAAATGTAGCTTTTACTATAGCAAGATCATAAAGATAAAATACAACTTTGTGATGATAAAGCAAAATCTTTGTTTAAAATGCAAGGGTCTCCCCACCCCATTTAAGTACATTAATGAATGAATCTGTAGTAACAAAGGCCTTAGCTGTAATACAATTCCTTGGAGGCCCTTTTACAGTCCATTAGCTGACATTAAAGAGTACAAGTTCATTTAAGCTTGAATACACCCATATTTGGATTTCCTGAAGTGTCTTCAATATTGCCATTCACTTTATTTCGCATGTAACTAAGGGAAAGCAGAGCAGTTAGTATCCTCTGTTAATTAAATGGTTCAAGTAACCAGGTTTCTCTTCCCTCTGCCTTACAGAGCCACATTTCCTGCATGCCATAGAATATGGGAACTACGTTTATTTCTTCTTTCGAGAAATTGCTGTAGAGCATAACAATTTAGGCAAGGTAGGTAAAAATCAGCTCTGTGTCACCATAAGTGATGAAGAATAAAAAATCTTAAGGAGAGCAAGATATGCTTGTCATGGAAAATATTGTCTAGCAAGCATAGTTTGCAACACTCAGTATGCCCTAGTGTAAAGTCAATACAGTTGTTTCAGTCCTTCTAATTGTCACTAAAAACAGAACAATGTGTAATGTGGCAACTTCAGCCTTAGGCTTTTAGTATTTCTGTCTTGTTCATAGAGTTCTCCACAGGTATCCTTTAGTGCTTCCATTTCCAGACTCTAGAGACAGCAGATTTTTCTGGTGTTGCCTACATGTTTAAAAAAGGGATTTCAAAAGGAGGTTCCCTCATCTCTCTGTATAATGAATAATTTAGCCATACTAATGTAGCACATGATACTTCTGCTTCACCGTGGAAGGATATTCTTTAGTAAATTATTAAACCCCTCACACATGGTTAATTAAAGTCTTTAAATCTCACCAACAATATGATTTTGAGAAAAGGTGGAGGCAAGGCTGGGAGTGCTGTGTTTGCTCACTGATGCTTTAAAATGCCCATGCACTTGCAGCTAAACTTTGATTTCCTTTCTGTACCGGCTTTGAAAGCAGATATATGGCAGCAATTTTCCTGCTAACAAAATTATCCTTGATGTTTTATTAACAGTCTGGAAAATGGGATTGTTTTCCTAGCAGCGCGCAAGTCCTGCTCCTCTCTACCTTTTGTTCCCCATGCAGGCTGTGTATTCTCGTGTAGCACGCATATGCAAAAATGACATGGGTGGTTCCCAGCGAGTCCTGGAGAAACACTGGACTTCATTTCTAAAAGCTCGGCTCAACTGTTCTGTTCCTGGGGATTCTTTTTTCTACTTTGATGTTCTGCAGTCTATCACAGACATAATAGAAATCAATGGAGTCCCTACTGTTGTCGGTGTATTCACCACACAGCTTAACAGGTGAGAGATGAGCAAGCTAACATCAAAAGAAGTTCTCCAGTTCCCTGTTGCAACTAATATTGGAACCATTGTAGTCTGAATTCTTGCAATGATTTTTCTTATTTTACAGCATCCCCGGTTCAGCGGTATGTGCTTTCAGCATGGATGACATTGAGAAAGTCTTCAAAGGGAGATTTAAAGAACAAAAGACTCCAGACTCTGTTTGGACAGCTGTACCTGAAGACAAAGTACCAAAGCCAAGGTAAAAGATTCTTACTTATGACATGATAATATTGTCCCTGTAAACAGCCACCTTTAAATCAATGATATATTGAGAGTCTTGTCAGGTAAAAAAGAAGCAGCGGTTTTCACTTGAACTATAAGTATTCTCACGAGCAGCCTCCTCTGCTCTTTCAGAATGTGTGCCCTTTCTCATTAGCTAAAATATCAAGAGACAAAAAAATGTTGCTTTCCTTTCAGACCTGGCTGCTGTGCAAAACATGGCCTAGCAGAAGCTTACAAAACCTCCATTGATTTCCCAGACGAAACCCTATCCTTCATCAAATCCCATCCTTTGATGGATTCTGCCATTCCCTCTATCATTGAAGAGCCCTGGTTCACAAAGACCCGGGTCAGGTAGGAAGTAACATATATCTGCCTATATAAAAAAAACCAACAGACTGCAATCAAATTAATGTGTTTTGTTGGTTTTGGTAGGTATAGGCTGACAGCAATTGCAGTAGACCATTCTGCTGGACCCTATCAGAATTACACAGTCCTTTTTGTTGGCTCTGAAGCTGGAGTAGTACTTAAAATCTTGGCAAAGACCAGGCCTTTTTCTTTGAATGACAGCGTATTACTGGAAGAGATTGAAGCTTACAATCATGCAAAGTAGGTATTATTTTTACAAGAACTGCCCTCCAGAGCACTTCCCATGTATATTTCATTTAGTCGTTGGCTTTTGTGACCTAATTGGTAATGGTGGCTTTTGCTTTTCCCTAAAAAAAATATATTCTCACCAAGCTTCTCACATTATTTGTCAGTCCCAAACCTTTATGGTAAAGATGTGCTGCTGAATAACTGGAAAATGTTTTAGCACTTGCCTTTCTGTGTGGGTAGTGAGAGCCTTCTAATTCCACCCTCATTAAGTCATTGCTGCAGCCTAGTTATGCTACAAGCAGCTATATCTTTCTGGCTATAGAATAGCAGTACTCTGCACCCAGGACAGGTTTTCATGTCTGGTTTACGATAAATGTATTAAACATGTTGAAATCACAAGGGTAATGGGCTTAGATATTTTCTATGTGATACAAAGATTGTACCATAACACCCTTAATTTAAGAGCCAAAACCTTGATACATGGTATGGAGAGCACCCCACAAAATAGATTAAATTAACTGGACATCACAGTGTGCTTATCACTGCAATAATAAAGTATCGTATCTTAGGTACCTTTTTTCCAAAAATAATTGTGAAGTTTCAATTTTTCAGAACCCAAATAACTTTAATTGACTATTTCCAGTGTAAACTTTGCACAGGTTTATTAAAATAACAGTTTTAAATGACTGTTACCCAACAGGTGTCATGCAGAGAGTGAAGAGGACAGAAAAGTCATTTCCCTTCAGCTGGATAAAGAACACCATGCTGTATTTGTGGCCTTCTCTAGCTGCGTTATCAGAATACCCCTCAGTCGTTGTGAGCGTCATGGATCATGTAAAAAGTAAGCCTGTGTTCCTGAACTCTCCCTTAAAGCAAAGGCACAGAAATCTGTGGTGATAGCAATAAAAGAAGCATTTTTCTTTGGTCTGATCTTGAACAGGTCTTGTATTGCTTCCCGAGATCCATACTGTGGCTGGCTAGACCATGGGACATGTGGAAGAGTGAAACCTGGCATGTTGTAAGTGTTATTTTAAAAATCAGTCTAATATATCAACAGTTACTGCCTCTGTTTGTATACCACACAAACATTTATTATGATATACGTGATCATGCTCTCATTCACTACTTATCTTTTTTTAGTGTTATAAAAGTGTTACAGAATGCTAGAGTGTGATCCCATTCTAAAGTTTTTCTTTGGAGAAAACTTTAATTTCAGGGGGAATTTAACTTAGTTAAGAACAACTTATAAATATCCAAATGAAAAGCAGCTTGGTGAGATGACAAATTACTGAGCATAAACACGATCAGCTTAGTAAAGAGAGTATCATAGTGCAGCAGTCACTGCCAGAAGGACACAGTAGTCAAGGAAATATTTCGACTTGGGGTGCTCCTTTGCCAATAATCCTAACTACCCAGAAATGGATCTCCTTTACAGCTGAAATCTTTTATGTCAGATCTGAACTTTTTTATTTAAATTAATTCTCTTCATTTTTACAAGAGCAGAAAAAATGTAAGATTTCTGTAGCTTTTCCTGAATATGCTGTATGTATATATATTGATGCCTTCCAAGGGCATAATGTAGAATCAGGTCACTGGAGCACATTGCATGACCAATATATTGATAAATATGACCTATATAATGGGGCCAGTACTGATCTTAGACCAACATGTACAAACTCCAGTTGACATAAGTTGAGATGTACAATTGTACCTAAAAACGAGCATGGCCTTAGCATTTGGAGGTGAAATAAGATTAACATGACCACTTAAGCTTTTGCATAGTCTGGTGTAGGTGTTTGTAATTTGAAAGCCTTAATACAATGTGTGTATTTAATACATAGTCTTCCTAAGATCAGATATTGTACAAGTCCTCATAGCTGTACATTTACTGTGAATGTCTAAATGTGTTTCCGGTTTTTGTTTTCAGCAGAAAATCATCATTTGTTTCCCTACTAATGCTGTTAATTGCAGGTTCTCTTTGTTTGTTTCATACAACCACAGCACTGGAGGATATGAGCAAGATGTAGAATTTGGCAATACAGGACAGCTTGGGGACTGCCATGGTAAGGCATAGTAGTCACTACTGCTAATTTATAACATGTCAACAGTAGTTTGTGGCCACGCTTCATTATGGATGTTAAATTTATGAGCCTTTCAGTAACACTCTGAACACATCACCTAGTGTGACCATGAACAGCCACAAAGCTGAGCTATTTGGTCTTGGGTGGCAGATAAGTTTTACCTTGTTTTCTTGCCCTTTCACCAGTTTACAACTATCTGGGGTCTACAGCAAAGTATTTAACAACTTCTTTTTCGTAACCAATAGTATTTTCTTTTTGATTTTCAGTTACTCAGGTTTTAAGAGCTTTTGCTTTCTTTTGGTTACTTTTCACTGATTACTTGTTCCTTTAATTCTTTTAGAAATTTTGCCTACTACAACTACACCAGATTACAAAATATTTGGCGACCCAACATCTGGTTAGTTTTTTTTAATTTTTTTGAATTAATGACCTTTTCTTTCCTTCAGTTCAGCATTTTCAGCCCTTTTTTCCTTCCTTTTGCACAGTTGGCAATCCTTCATTTTTGTGCTTAAACTCATGTTCCCACTGATGGTAAAGATAGCCAGACTCTTCTCACTCAGCACTTCACCCTTTGTAGCCGCATGTTAACAGCTCATTATTTATTGAAAAACATCTTTTATTAAAGAGCCTGATTAACATAGATGACATCTTCACTGCACGAAAGTCCACTAAGCTTTACTCTGTTCCCCAACCATGCATTTGTGAATGCCCTTCTTGGTCATCTGTAGTAAATGGATGGCAGAATTTCATCATTTTCCTCCTTTTTTCCTCTCCTCCCCTTCTCTTGCTCCCTGTTTCCCTCCCCGCCACCCCCAAGTCTTATCAAGCAAATGCACATTTTTTAAAATGTGTATTTTTACATTTTTTAAATGTCTAAATAGTTTGTGCTATTGGAAATCATTTAACATCCAAAACTGTGTAGCAGAAAAGGACTGTAGCAGACTGCTGCTGTAATGGAGACCTTGATACGTTGTTGTCATAGGGACCTTTCCTCCCTTTTGTCCTTCAAATGTTTTGTTTTGTTTTATTTTGTTTTGTTTTGATGGCATTTTCACTGTGAACTCCTGTTTTCCAGGGAGATAGGGCCTGGTGCTAGTCTGTTGAACTCAGTAGCAAAACTGTTATTGACTTCAACAGGTGCATGATTGGGCCCATATTCTCCGAAGTGTGCTCCAGACTAAAACTTGCTCTCTGTGGTTTCAGCCCAAGGGCACTTTTCTGTTTGTCAAATCCGAAAAAAAAATCTGTCTCTCTGTTTAAGTTGTGAGAGCACAACACACAACATTTTGTGCTTTGTTTCTAATGGTATTTGCACTTCTGTAACTCAACAAGGACTCCTGCTTGATAAACAAATATTCTGCAGATTTATTTACCCATCATGTAAATGTGTGTGTAATTTAGAGGGAAAAAAGGCAACGGTCTTCCTTCAGTACTACTTACTTGCATGTTTACTTCATCAATTAAACTTTCAGTGTGATATTTTAGGACAGCGACATCATAAACCTGATTTTCAAGCCCTGAATTACCATACATCACATATATACTTTCCCCCTGCCAATCCGCCTTTCAGGCACACAGAGTTAAAACTGCTCAGCCACATTCACATGAATCAGGGATTTACATTTGGCAAGCAGGCTCACTGTAGAATATCAGGCTTACTATGTCTGCAGCTCGTGTGCATTACCATGTAGGCCATGACGCAATCCAACAAATCCATTACAAATGAAGAAGGATCCGTACAACAGAGGTCTGTAGGAGCCATTACAATATCAGAGCTAAAAAAAAAATCTATTTCCTCTGATGGAGCTGATCTGGCATCTAAGGAATACCTGTACTTAAAAGCCTCTGATAAGGTCACTAGTATACATCTTATAACCGATTTTTAAAGATTGTTAAGACTATGAAATAAAATGAAGTAGCTTACCTCAAGCAAACAGTATAGCAGCTAAGCAGAATAAGGTCCCCCTTTCTTCAGTTGCTTACAGTAACTTTTGTTCTGCATTACATACAACTTCCCTGGCTTTTGAATAGCAGCTCTAATGTTACTTAATGTAGCCTTTTAATATGATTGATTTTAATCAGCCCTGTATACTTCTGTAAAGTGTAAGGGTCACATTCTGCCCCGACATGTAATTTCCATTAAATACCTTCTCCAGGCATAACTTAGGAATGCCATGAAACAGTAAGGAAAGCCTGACCATAATACACATTAATAAAAATCTGTTTGCCACCACAGACATGGAGTTCTCTTCAGCTTCCATTACTACAATGGCAAGTATCCCAGTTATATCACCTAAAGTGATTGGTTCCTGGAAACCTAAAGTGACTGGCTCTCGGAAATTTGTAGTTCAAGATGACCCAAACACTTCTGATTATTCTGATCCATTATCAGGTGTCCCAAAGGGTAAGGCCTTACCAGGGAATACATTGCAGCTGAATGGAAACCTGATAGTCTCAGCATTTTCAAAGATCTAACTGTAACAATCATCATTACAAGATATTCCATACCATTTTCCCATTACTATACAGAATGTGCAAACATGATCCTTGTGCCCGTTTAGCCAACAAAGGCCAAGTATAACACAGTGGTGTTCACACTGTTTATGGCTGGCAATAGGCTATATTGAATGCAGATGTTGAATCCATGTCTTTATTCTTTGCACACTCCAAAACTGGCACTGAAATCAGCATGGGGTTCAAGACTGCACAACAAATGTATTTGTGTGAGATCAAATATGCAGAATTTTTGCTCTAAAAATGAGCTAGAGCTTTCACTAATCCAGCTATATAGACCCTCCCACTATGCTTGCATACGTATGCAGCTCAATACAATTTTATATATTACAAACAGATCATCTTCCTTCCTTTTTCTTTTAAGTGAAACATTGCATAGGCTGTTACAGAAACAGATTTTGGTTCAGCAAGACAGGGTGATTAACAAGAACAAAAAAGAGGCACAACTCCAAATGAGACTTTACTATTATCAGAGCATCGGAGGCACCAATAATGTTTGCACAATCCTGTCGTTATTGAAAAGTTCACAACAGACAACAACAACAAAAAAACCCTTGATTTTATTATTCTAAAAAAAATATCAGGTTTCTTCTCAGCCATTATATGACAGTACATTTGTGATTTTTGTTTTGGTTATTTTGAGTTTTGCTTTTAATCAATATTTTTGTCATAATTTCCACATGTTCTCATTCACATTCTGTGTCATTTCTGTTAGTGAACCTTTACTCCTGTTTCCTTTCCTCTCCTATATAAAATCATTAAACCCTATTATGCAGAACATTAACAATGTTCAAAGGCCCTTCCCTCTAACAAAAGAAACTATTTCTTCACTCCTGATTGTTTTACTATCTCCTGGGATACTTAACAGATTTACCTTTAAAAACTAACATTGTCTAACTACAAGATGTCTGTGGTTGCTTTTAAAATACAAGCTCAGAAATCTGAGAGATTTTGTGTTAATATTTGGTTTACAAACTAATGCAACATTTATTCTTCTTCTAGGTCTAAGCTAAATGTTTTTTTAGATTTTAGCAAACTCCTACAACCTTTCATTAACCATATGTTTTTAAATGATATGCAATACTGAATGCTCATTACTAAGTAACAAAAAAGAAAAACAGTAAACTGCATTAATAAAATAATATTATTTTGAATTGTATAAATGTATAACTAGATAACTATGCAGTGTAGGAATGCATTAGTTTATATGTTTTGCACGGTATTAACATGGCTATAAAAACCCAGTATATACACAACATTTGCATAATCCTGTCTCTCTTTTGATACTGATTTATGAGTTGGACAGGAAATTGAGAGAGAAATCCCTCCACGAGTTATTAATTGAAGTCTGGCAGAGTAACACCTTCTAACCCCAATTTTCCAGCAGAAATCGTTAATGTTAATAACATACAAGCCACTATTTATGAGCCTTAGAGGATATTTGGGGACAAAGATAGGAACTTGACAAAGAGAGTACAGTATATAACTAGATGTACTTTCAGAACCAAAGCACTGCCAAGCCCTTTTTCTTGTCAGATAAAGTGGAGAGTCTCCATTTTGGCTGATCAGTGCTAAACCTGTAAGTTGAATTCTATAAAAGTATTTACAGTCTCTAGTGTGTAGATGATTACATTAATATTAATCTATCTTAAACAACACTCATCTAAATAGATAGTGCTGTCCTTCATCTAGAGAGGCTGCTTTTGTTTTGGATAACATGAAAGTCAAATACATGCTAATTTATCATCCTCTATGTTTGTTACAGGTGTAAGGTGGGAAGTGCAGTCAGGAGAGTCCAACCAAATGGTACACATGAATGTTCTGATCACTTGCGTCTTTGCTGCTTTTGTCCTGGGAGCCTTTATTGCAGGAGTGGCTGTTTACTGTTACCGAGATATATTTGTACGGAAATCCAGAAAAATACACAAGGATGCTGAATCGGCTCAGTCCTGTACAGACTCCAGTGGCAGTTTCGCTAAGCTGAATGGGTTGTTTGACAGTCCTGTCAAGGAATATCAGCAAAATATTGATTCGCCCAAACTGTATACAAATCTGTTGACTAGCAGAAAAGAATTGCCACCAAACGGTGATACAAAGTCCATGATAATGGACCACAGAGGACAGCCTCCAGAATTAGCTGCACTTCCGACTCCTGAATCCACACCAGTACTTCAACAAAAGACACTGCAAGCTATGAAAAGTCAGTCAGAGAAGACACATAACAATCTGAATGCTTCAAGAAAAGAAACCCCTCTAAAAAGCCCTCAGTTTTTCCCTTCCAGTCCCCCACCTCATTCTCCTTTAAGTCATGGGCATATTCCTAGTGCTATTGTTCTTCCCAATGCTACCCATGACTACAACACCTCTTTCTCAAATTCCAATGCACATAAAGCAGACAAAAAGATGCAAAACATTGATCACCCTCTCACTAAACCATCAAGCAAAAGAGACCACAGGCGATCTGTTGATTCCAGAAACACCCTGAATGATTTTCTTAAACATTTAAATGAAACTACTAGTAATCCCAAAGCAATTATGGGAGACATTCAAGTGGCTCACCAGACTTTAATGCTGGATTCAATGGGAAATATGTCTGAAATTCCCCCTAAAGTTCCTAACAGGGAGGCATCTTTATACTCTCCTCCATCTACTCTTCCCAGAAATAGTCCAACGAAACGGGTGGATGTCCCAACCACCCCAGGAGTACCAATGACCTCTTTAGAAAGACAGAGGGGCTATCACAAAAATTCTTCACAAAGACATTCAATATCTGCACTCCCTAAAAACTTAAACTCACCAAACGGTGTTTTGTTATCCAGACAGCCTAGTATTAATCGTGGGGGGTATATGCCATCTGCCACTGGCACAAAGATGGACTACATTCAAGGGACGCCAGTCAGCGTTCATTTACAACCTTCTTTATCGAGGCAGAGCAGTTATACAAGCAACGGAACCCTTCCTCGTACAGGGATAAAGAGGACACCATCCATAAAACCCGACGTACCACCAAAACCTTCATTTGTTCCTCAAACGACTTCAGTCAGACCACTGAACAAATACAGCTACTAGGGCTTGTGTATTCTGTTAGAGTGTGGTATCAGCCTACCCTGGCTGTGAGACGATGTTGTGGGAGACTTATAAGACAGAGACTTGCTTGTAATTAAAGAGAACAAAGTGGCCAAAGAAACTGTCTTCACTTCAGCAACATCTGTGTCTTGCCACACGTAGCTACTGCAAGACATAACGTACTTGCTAAAAAAACAAACAGAAAAACAAAAGAAAGTGCTGGTCATTACATTTCTTTTGTTTGGAGCTAAGGAGACATGTAGCACAACGGGGGTGGGGGCTACTTTACCGTTCTAAATAGTGATAATGTACTTGGAGAAATCTGTAAGCAAATACTTGAAAAATGGGTTCCATTTTAGACTGCCATTGTGTGGTCTTCCCATTAAATGTGAACATTTTGATATGTATGCATTCACCTTGCCTCTTGCACAAATGTCAGAAAATGGTAATGTCTCAATGGATATCTGGGTAAATAAGTGATTTGCTGGAATTCAGTCTCTGGCCCAACTGTAGCATTCTATTTTCCCCCCATGCGTGGCACTTGGTTTATGCCACAGATAAAGCTGTGCGTGCACGTGTATGTGAGTGTGTACCGTACACACTAGGATGTATTTAGATTCCCACTGCATCTTTTATGCTATGGAATTGTTTACACTGAGCATGACTGAACAACCAACGACTCTTCCTTCTGCAGTCCATTGGGTTCAGTTTGGAGACAGCTAGGAAGGAACTGTGCATCTCAGCCACCTTCCAAAGGATATATACATTGTTGAATTAGTAACACAGTGAAAGGGTGCAAATCTGTTAATTCTAAATAACTGTATTATGCTGCTATTGATTCAGATCTGTACATTTCAAATCTAGTGTTTTGGGGTGGAATGGGGGACTCTGACTGTATTTCTACAGTTCCCCCATCCAGTATCTGGCCACTGTGAATTTGAGCCCCTGTCGTTCTCATTGTGGGCAGCTAGTAATCAAGAACACACTAGGCAAAGCCTATCTAATGATAAACCGTTATACTTTTTTTGTTGCATTTAATAACGTCCTACACTCTGATAGGCTTTTGTCTGTAGAGAGGAAGAAACATTAATTGGCCTGGGAGAAGCAGTCTGTGAAAACTCAACAGTAGTGCAATCAATATGTTTATGTTGTGTAATGTATGGATTTTCTCCAAAGTCATGCAGGTAATGACAATATTCTGTAAATATTATGTGTGAGTTTACCTGAATCTGTGCATTTTGTGCCTTATTCATGCAAATGATAAAAGTACTAAAATTCTGTCAAGTGCACATCATATTTCCTGAGTGCCAGTTGTAAATTCTCTCAACAAGCACCCAAAAAAAAAGATAAAGCAGGAATAATTAATGGTAAATAAAGGCAGCCTACAATCCAAAAAGACAGCAGCATTAAATCACCTTCCCATGATAAACATTCCACTCCAGTTCTCCTAAGGATCAAACAGTTATAATGTGAAATCAAATGAGGTTTCTAGGGTAATGGAACACCTGCTGAAGTTGTGTAAGCCATTTAGTAGGTTTTACAGTATCTACTTGCAGCTGATGTTCACCACAGATGGCTATTTTAGCTTGCAAACTACACACTACCACATTGTTTACTGAACATAACTGTAGAAATAACCACAGCAAAGGAATATTCATGAATTAGGGGACAAATAACTTCAACTGGTTTCTGAGACAATGGCGATTTATATTACATGTTAGAGGGGAGAGAGAGTTAGTCTCTGAAAACTGGATTGCTATTACTGAACAAATAATAAAGGATAGACTTATTCTCCCCCCTCACCCCACTTTAAGGCTGTTCTTGGTAAGGAATTTTGAGACCTCTGAATCCAAAAAAAAACCCCCCTCATCTCTTCTTAAATGCTTCAGTCTTGAAACTAAAACACTACAGATTAATAACTATTAAAAATACTCATTTGTCAAGTGACAAGAAACCGATTTAAATTCATTTTACAAATATTAATACAGACTTGTGTGAAACCGAACCATAAATGTATGTGAACCCTGATAACTTTCTGTAACATTGTGCTGCCTTGTAGATGGTAATGTGAGTTCTATCAGTATTTATGTTGAAATTTCTAACATTCAACCTAGTCTTTATTCTGTTAATTTAATAATACAGATGCTTTATCCATTTGTGCAAAGGTAAACACAGATTGTATCTTTTTTAATGGTACGGCATAAAAAGTAACCCTTAAACAAAGCTGCTCTATACTATAGAGTACTTTAACATGTATAGATATCTTGTAAACTTGTATTGTGGATGTGTAAATAATACGTTCTTTGGGTTTTTAACACCGCATGTAAAGTCGAAATAAAATATTCAGTGTACCAGATGTCTAACTTTATTGTTATTGAACATATTTATATAATGTATTGTTTGTCTGATTACAGTGAAGGAAGCATTCTGCTTGCTTTTAACAGCTCCATTAAGAAACCACAGAGACATCCCCTGATCAGCATTACTGGGTATCATGCAGCTTGCAAATGGCTGATAGCATGGCATACAGGTATACTTCCATTTTCATTGCAGTCTAATGTTGACATGCAGGCTCATGAGACAGTGCGTGCAGACAACTGTCAGATTTCCGAGTTAAATATAGAACAGTGAAGCAACCAACATGCATTGAGAAAAACGTAATACTGGGTCAGATTAGTCCACACGATTCATTACAGAGATGCATTTAATTTGAGAAATATGCAACACACTCCCATAATAACTCTGAACTGTAACTTGATTCCAGACTTACAGCTGGCAGCATCGAGTCCTGTAAATATCACTTTAGTGTCTAGTAGTAAACCTCATTTGTTTGATCTCCCATGAAAATACAGACCAATAGTAAGGATACATTTTTTCTCCATCATGTAGGTAACAATAACTGATCACAATTACCACCTAACTGTAAAATTACAATTAATGTCATCAGCACTTTCCTAAGTAACTATGACTAACAAAAAGCCACAGTTTTTTTAAGATAGTTTGTGTTTGTAACTAATAATAAATGTAGCAGAAGTAGTGTACAGTATATGCATAATACATGTACCATTCAATTGCACATTTAATATGTGCCAGCATAATGCTTAATTTAAAAATAAACACAGTAATTTCACATCACAGCATCCTTTTTAATAAAATTTGATTTTAGTTAATGGAGAAGTTTTCTACATTTTTGTTTTCAGGCCATTAATAGTATAAATTACTAAACATTACAACAGTGCAATGGCACCTAGAAGTATTCTACTGAAAGCATTTTATAAAAGGTAATCATCTGAGACAAACACAGTGTAAAAAACTATCATAACTCTGCGTGTTTTCTTAGACCAAAGTCAAATTTAGATTTATATGTGGAGAGTTTCCAGCTGATGTATTTCCTTCATTTGCTCAAAGCACATTTAATTTCCATTGCAAAATTAACTCTAGCCAACATATGAACATGACAGTCAATGTAGCCAAACTTGCTCCCCACTCATAAGTACAACACATTTTCAAGTTATAATTGGCTGAATTATTTTTCAGTTGATCTTTAGCAATCTGTAAATATAAATCATTTTTAATTGACATAAACAACATCTAGACACACGCTGGGGCAGTTTTGTCCACAAGTTAGTTTTATTTCTTCTGCCTGCAGAAATGCAGCCACCACATTCCAAACCGAGTTGTTTTTATATTGATGCTTTCTATATTTTTCAGAGTAATATGTTTTTGGTGGCACATTATTTTGCATTTCATCTGTCCCAGTGTTCTTCATTAGGGTACATTACTCATACAACATACCATACCAGCTCATTTAAAAACATTGTTTATTCATCGTTAATGGAAGAGGACCAGGGGGTACAAGAGCAAGATACTGCTAACATTTTAACATTAAAGGAAAAAGTTTCATTCCTAAAAAGCTAGTGAAGCGCAAATTCAAGGAACAAGTTAATTGCAATTGAGTTTCTGAGCTACTTTGTGCTTAACAACAAAGACAAAGCAGTAACAGATGGCCTCTCTGTTGCAAAAGGATAACCAGAGAGGTTAAACAAGAAGAGAAGTGAAAGTGATGTCAGTGCGTCCTGACCTCAAATCCTCTCTGGCCTTTTTGTTTGTTTTTTAAGTGTCCAAAGTACAATCTCACTGGAAGAAAAGTTCAGAGATATAGTGATGGCTGAAGAAACTGAAGGGCAGAAACATGATTTGCTCAGAGAGTTCACTGAGGGGATTTGCTATTAACTATGGGAAAAGCGTGTCTGTGTTAAAAGTCTCATCTGAGGGTTCAGTACAGGGGAGAGGCACAGCAAGCGTGTTCATCTTTCCTCATGGGAACTATTGAAAAGGAAACAGCAAAGGAGGGTGAGCAAAGCCAAAGCAAAAGGGAATCAACATTAACAAAACAGTATTTGCATTTATCACCAAAGAATCTAGGCTGCAGCTTCTTGAAAAATACATAAAGTTTAACAAAAAAAACAAAAACACAAACTGAAGAAGAATGAGGCTTTGTTTGTGTGGCAATGGGATGGTTGAAGAATCACCTATAGGAAAATTCTCTGTCATAAATCTGTGGCCTATTCAAAAGTTGTCTAAAGTCAGATTTAGGTGATGGGAGTCAGGTCAACTCTCACCTTGCACCAGTTTTGCAACCAACTCTCTGTAACCTTGGGCAAGTCTCATGAGGTTATAAGGTGGTGTAATGTTTATATATGGTGCTTTAAGACCAGCAGGTAAAAGTATTATTATGTGGCACACATCTAGTCCCCATGGTTGTAAAGTTTTCCTGTTCTTTGTTTTTTATTTTTGCCACCACTGATCCTGAACTCTAGAGTGTGTTGCTTGCAAATAAATAGAAGAGAAAAGAGCTTCCAACCTAATAATGCATCCCTGGAAAGTTCCAGGGCAGGCAGAGATGAGGAAGAGTCATATGGCATTTTCCCAGGTGCATGAAAATTTCATGGGATTCAAAGTATTTTTTAAATTAATCATGATGAAATAAACTCATAAACACAGCAGCTGGTCTCCAGGAAGGGTGAGTGAGCTGTAAGTGTAAGGCGTATGACAAGATCTGCCTTAAAATGTCATTGTATTAAAATTAATAAAGAGCAAGAGCACAAAATATATTTTAAAAAACTCTTTACCTGCTTTCTATTAGTTAGCCCTTACCAGATGGGTTATAGTTTCTTGTACATTTAGCCTCAGGAGTAGTAAACAGGTACCCATTTGGCAAGAATAGCGTCTGTTCCCATACAATGCTGCCTGCATGCATATAGCTTTGTAAGGTTGTTGAGCCATACTGCATTGGGCTTCAGCACATCTGAAATTATAATCTGTCCTGAACCACAGACTGATGGAATGTTTCTGCTCTGCCTGAAATTAAATTTATTGGAAGCTCTGATTTTATTAGTACTTTCTGAATTCATGCAATGCCCTGATTTATGGTCTGATCGCTTGCTTTTTCCTACAGTCACCACCATCATCTTTTGTGAACTTTTTTCCTCAAAATGGTAAGTGAAGCCACATCATTTTGCTAAGCAGTTAACATAGCTCAACAATATGCATATGCTCTTGCATGATGCCCTGTAGGCATAGTTGGAGAATCCCCTGGGTTCCTAGGATAGTACTGAATTCTGCCTTGACAGATTGGCATGTCAGTGCTTTATTCCAGCCAAGGAGAGCTGTACATATATTGTTCCTTTAGCTGTGTAATACTTCAAAGGTGGGGAAGTGGGAGAAAATGTTACCACACAGCCAGACCAGCCTGACTGCTGTCAGGAATGGCCCCATCTTTCAGCAAAGAGAGATTTACTTTGGAGGCAAGGGGGGTGGGGGGGGAATTAAGCAATAAAATTCTGCATAATAAGGCACCCATTCTGTAACCTTAACTGTGAGACTTTTATGAGAGTGAGTGCTTCGCCTGATGACGTCAACAGGACCAGGCAGGAGGTTTACACTAATACATATCTCTTCACAGAGTCAGGCCTGGATACATTCTTGGGGGGGGCAGGTATTCCACAAATTAGCCCCACTCCCCAAATGCCACTCTGATCCCTTTCCTCTGCCTGATTTGTTCTGCTTTCTGTTTCCTGCCACATGCACCTTCATCGCTGCTTTCTGCTCCCTGCTCCTATGCTTTCTGTCCACTCCCTGGTCTGCCGCATGCCACACACAGGCTGCCTGTGCTGTTTGTGGCACTTGTGCTGCTGGTTGGCCAGCTCTGCAATATAGGGTTTAAAATCATTTTCAGTATCTGACCTTAACCACTGTCAGAGATGGCTCATGCAACTAGCCGTCCGTGTAGATGTCATTTGTTCCGGTATCCGTACCTGTATGTCAGCTCCTAAAAGCATGCAAGACCTCTGACAGAAATGGAGCAGCTGCCTAGTAGGACAAGCAGGGATAGATTTGGTTTTTAAATTATGTCACTTGAAACACACTTATTCCCCAGCTCTAACTCACATTACTGGTCACACATGAAAAAGCAATTGAGTATAGAGCTGAGTGTATGAATCACAACAAATGCATTAGATGAAAGCAACTTCCTTTCCTGCACATGGAATATCCATGAGATGGCCTGCACGCTCCCAAGAAATGCTTGATGATCAAATCTGTTCAGTTAACATTGTCCCATTTTTTGTTCTGGGTTACCTAAATGTATTTCTTTATACTCAAGCTGTGTTGCATAATAATGAACAGTAACATTAGTCTCATGTCCCAATTTCTGTTCCATTACTGGGTGAATGGAAAGCACTTCCAACATCAGTGTCTGATTATGAGAGCTGGCCTCGTGGAATCTCACACACGCAGCTCTGCCTTCCAGTTTCTGCCAATATTTGTGCCACTTGGGCTGAAATCCTGATTCTATCAGTTAGTGGCAAAAATCTCATTGATTTCTACCGGGGCAGGATTTCATATCCAATTGCTCAAATGTCCAGGAAAAGGAAACACCAAAGGAGTGTAAGCAAACCCAAAGCAAAAGGGAATGAACATTAACAGGCAAGCATTTGCATTTATCATCAAATACTCATAGATTCATAGATGTTAGGGTCGGAAGGGACCTCAATAGATCATCGAGTCCGACCCCCTGCATAGGCAGGAAAGAGT